CCCCTCATAACTCCTACCCCATTATAGTTTTTTCCGTGCCCAGAAATAGACTCCTTCTTAGTCACTTTTAGCAAAATGTAATTTCTGCTATTCAAAATTAGTCATTTTCTGTTTATGCATCTAGCTTTGAAAGTCTTCTAACCAGGCCATCCTGAAATGAATTGACCCATTTGTCAACTTAATGTGGTAAAAAACTTCTCATTTTTAAATCCCTACCTACCCGAATTTTCTGACTCCCAAAATTCCGAAAAAGTGCACCGACAAGGAAATACCCTCTAGGGATCTGCCCGGACCTGCTCGAACTAGGATTACGAGAGAAGCCTGGTGACGACAATTGATCGAAGCCAACATGGCCGGCGGAAGCGGTCGTTTTTTTCATTTAGCGTTTTGTCTTTTGTGGCTTCTACAGATTCACACGCCATCATATGGAGCACAAAAGCTCAGAATGGTTAATGTGGTGAGTTTTTTTGTGATAGTATTGTAAAATATAATTGGTTGATTCCGAAATGTATCGGTGCTGGTACAATACAGAGCATATGACATGACCACGAAAATTTTCAACAGGTTAATTTTATGTACGCGTGTAAATTTTAACGATCTTCTCAATGAATTACTTGCTTTCTTTACTTATTTATGATTTTTGCCACTAATTGATCTGTAATTCCCTGGAATGGTACCTCAGCTCATAAAACCTGGGCGCATTGAAATTTTCCCAAATTTAAGCTTAATTAAAGTCACAAGTGTAGTGTTATGACTAAGCTTTTAAATATAATAACCGATCTGGAGAAGATCGAGTCCCTACAAGGCGTCTAAGTTGACTTCGGAGTTTTCAACCTAGTTTCAATTGGAAATTGAGCTTGCAAACTAGCTTCTTCTATGCATAGAAGATGAGAGGATATAAACAGTTTTAAGTATTTTGCGTTTCATGTAAGGCTTATTACTTCCTTTCGCGAACCAAGCACTGACACAAGTCTGAGTCTTCTGCAGTCAATGTTACGTTCATAGTTCATATAATTTCAAGGCAGATAAGGAAGTAAATGAAATTACTTGACTTATTAACGTTTAATTATTTTACATTTTATTAATCATCTGAGTCTTGTGTCAGTATTTTCAAAGTAGTAAGCTTACTTCCTCATTGTTATAAATGTTAGAAAGGTGCTCCTGATTTCATTTGTCTCCGATCTAACTTTTAGGGCCAAGTCCCTTTTTGAAATTTTACCCTTGGTTAACAGGGGGCTTTTATATCTAAAGTAATAGCTTCACTGATTCCTTCACCATACAAAAAGCTACCATTTTTAGCCAAGTAAATAATGTACTTTAAATTCCTTGCGCCACTCTAACAAAGGAAACTTGATTGATTAAATACCCTTGTAAAGCTGTGCCCTTGCATTGAGGAGTATTGTTATCTTATGTCTTTTGCAAAATGGTCATTTGAATGCTTTCTATCTGAAATTATCAGGTTTCCCCTCTTTATACTGGCCTCCACATAGTTGTACTTATTTTAAATCTGCTGTATTTGTATATCTAATATACAGCTATGCACAACTTAATTAGCATGTATATTAGCATGTAATTTGAATTGAACGTCTTAACAGGTATATCGCCATGGCGACCGCTCCCCCTACACCTTTTTCCCAACAGATGAACATAAAAATTTCTGGCCTCAAGGCCTGGGGCAGCTTACTCAGGTTTGTTTTTACTTAAACCCATAATCCCTGATATCAATACACATACATTATTACTGTTTACCTTGTTTTCTTCACATTTTTTGACTATGACTATGTTGACTCAGCAGTCAATAGCAAGTGTCCTTACCCCACCCCCGGTGCATTTGTCATATCAGGTATTCCAACAGTGGGGTGTTGATGTCATGAACGGTGTGGGAGGCCCAGGGAGGGTGTTTTTGTCACTGTTTAATTTGATATTTTTCTACAATTTTTAGCCAGGGAAACCTATTTTACTTGAAGAGTGTAGATTTAGCAAACCTTATAAAACAAAGTTTTGATACCTCAAAACAGTAGGGTTAATGTTATTTTCCTGGGACAAAATACTCTTGTCATACCCTGAGTGCCACTTGGGAGAGGTTCAAAAGTGACTAGGGTGAGTCAGAACAAATACTAGCAGGGTTGTCACTAAGGGCCGGGGGCCGGGGATTTCCCCCAGCTACTCAGAGCATGGTCCCCGGCTACTTTCGTCGTTAAATTAAACCAAAAGAGCACACCTTTGAAACACACAAAGACTCTCCATCAAACTAAATGCGAGTTTCATCTGCAGCAGGTTTAAGTAATTCTGAAATACTCGCATGCTAAAACTAAGAAACGTCGGAAAAAGACATCTGACTTAGATTTGGTACTAGTACACACGCGCGAAAACTCTCGGTTCACAAAATGTCAGTAGGGAGTTTTAGCAACGACGACGGCGACGGCAACGAGAATGTCAAAAAAGCAATAGGTTCATTGAGCAAAACAACTAGTTTGCACGTGCATCACGCTTTTTTGTACATTTCTTTGCCGTTACTGCACGACTACGACGTGAAAATGCCTAGTTTCACGTTTTATGGAGGACGTAAAACAAGCGACGACAAACTTTTCTTTCTCTTTCTAAATTTGAGTGTGCCCAAAGAAATCAACTCCAGGGAAATTGGTCTACATTAGCTATTTTCAGCGAATTGAAATAAACGTGACAAAGTTGGAAGAAACGCCAATTCATTTTTAAAAGTGACGTTTTCGCTGCCGTCACCTTTATCAATGCTAAAAGTCCCTAGTTTCAACCATTGTGTAGGGTTTGTGTTGAACATGTCGAAGAAGTGGCAAAGGATTCTACACTCTTCGTATGTTAAGTGATGTTTCGTTCATAAATTCGAGACCACTAATGTCACCAGTTGTGCAGTTTAGTTTTGCCATATTTTATCCGGTGATTTTTCGTGCGTTACGCTTGTTTTAGCCTTATCATACTTTTATTTTTCAACAAGCCATAGTAACCTTATGTTTATGATGCTTTTTCGTACATTCATCGTCCGCTTTTCTTCTTTCCGCTTCTGCGCGGGTTAATTCATTTGCAATATTAGTTTCACTTTTGTTTTCCGTGAGTTGTTTCGTTCTAACGTATAACTAAAATAATGAGGATTTACAATTGATTTTACAGCGCATGTTAATTCATTTGCACTGTATAAGAATCGATTGTCCTTTCAACATTTTTAGCATTTGTAAAGTATCGTTGTGATTTAACACTTCACTGGCCACCATGCGCCTTGTCTGCGTGAAGATAAGACTGTGCAGGTAACGTGACCGGTGCCAACCTGTCCTTTTTTTTTAGGTCGGGTGCTTACCTGTNTTTGAATAATGATGGACAGATGCAGAGAAAAATCACCGCATGTGGGTGTGAAAAGAGATGCAGAACGGGAAGAGGCTCCCTAACTGCATGCCACTTCCACAGCTACTAACAATAAATACCCGGCAACTTGAAATCTTAGTGACAACCCTGTACTAGCATCATTGCTTGCAGAGGGGGAGGGTGTTTTATGGACCTGATACACATTTATTCACTGCTATTTAGCACATAGATTTCAAGTGACTTCAAAAGTAAATGATCTGATCATCGACACACTAGTTGTAGGATTTCAAATTTCATGGATCAAACACTTTTTTGGTTCTTTGTCCTGAGATCATGAGAACTTGTACCATGAGAAGTCCTGGGAACCATTTTCAAGATCCAAGATTTTTTAAGAGTGTTAAAAACAATTTTTTTAAACATGGCACATTGACACACTCTGATTTTGTTTCATCAGAATAATTATTTAGTTGTCATGAGTTGGGTGGTATAATAATGATATTAAATAATGATAATAAAAAAAGTTAAAATTATGTGACTCTATGGGATGGATAAGTATAGGATGTAGGATATAAAAAAAAAATATGTAAGCCAGTGCCTAAGTCACCTAAATCGAGAATGTCTTTTTAAATTTCAGATTGGAATGAGGCAGGAATATAAACTTGGCCAGTTGCTCAGAGATCTTTATGTTGATAAATACAAGCTGCTTAATTCATCTTACTTGCTCAAAGAGGTAAATAGAAGATACTTTGACTTGCTATGGAAATTTTCTTTTGAAGGAATTAGGCTCGTAATTTCAAATGCCTATTCAAATGTTCTTAAAGCATAGCCTGAAAGAAAAATCCTACTGATGCTGCCATTTGCGATAACTGGCAGCCATCTTTATCAAAACTAAAAACGTCACAGGTGTGAATTATAATCTCCTATTAGGACCCAAGTGGTTTCCACCCTCAACCAGGAGGGAGGGGTGGCCTCGACGGAGTGACTTTTTAGACACCTGTGACGTTTTTAGTTTTGATAAAGATGGCTGTCAGTCATTGAAACTGTCAGCATCATGACAGGGCTTCTGATAGGTCGCAGAGAAAAAAGTTTCAAATATGTTGTACAGACACGTATTTGATAAGATTTTACCAAATTTCGCAGCATTTTGGGTGTGTTTGTGAATTTTAGGATTTTTCTTTCAGGGCTATACTGAATAGATATGTAAATTTTCTGCTATGAGTAAAATTATTACCATGGAACTCCCGAGGTATAACCCCAATAATGGCCTATATGATGAGGCTCATGCCTTGAAAAGGCTCCCTTTTTCAGGTTTCTGGTTTATAAAAGGGCGGGGAAATATATCATTTCCGTTGGTAAAAAGCCAGCCCAAAAGGGGTAATTAACAGTTGCATTTTTGTGCCTTTAAAAAAGTCGAGAAAACATCCTGGTTTTGTGATTTATTCATATTTAATAGACATTGCATTTACAGCAGTTATAATAAGGGATTCAAAGTTCTAAACTAGGTATGTGAAAGGGGTACCACTTGTCAAAGGAAGGTATATGTAAAGGGTACCTTTTCTTTGGTGGGACCTTGGAACAGAGCCTTCCAAAAGTTTGTTGAGTACCCCCACTGGGATGGAATTCCATCATATACCCATTTTTTTATAGCAACCTTCTTGTTAAAAAGTCAGTTTTCTGGCCCAAATAAAATTCCCCTCTGATATCCTCTTATATTCTGTAACCTTTTTAATCTGACTACTGTCAAACATACCTCCAGGTGAGACCATGACCTGCCATAAGCGACCACCTATCCAAAATGCTACAATTTTCCCAGTCAAAACCCTACTATGAAACCTTCTGTAAATGACCAGCTCTCATAAGTGACTGCAACCACTTTTTGGCCTGGTGATTTCATAGTTTTCCATTATTAATTTTTTAACCTCTTGTAAGTGACCACTTGATGCCTGGTGTGGTCCCTTTTCCTCTATATTTACTACTTCTCTCAGAGTATACAAAGAATGGAACTACACGTATAGTTGTAACTCACAAAATGTATGTAATAATTCCATGCCAAAAAGTTGCAGATGTGTTAAGATCCATTTTTAGAGGAGATGACCTGTGGTTTGATTCTCGTAAGCGACCACCTCTTGTAAGCGACCACTAAATCTTATCTTGACTATTTTTTTAAAAACAGATCTATGTTCGAAGTACTGATGTAGATAGATGTATAATGAGTGCTCAGACACAACTGAATGGTCTCTATCCACCATATGGAGGGCAGGTACAAGTTGACAGCATTTTTTTTATCATTTTTTAACTGGCAGCAAAATAATTTTATAAATCTGGTTGTGTATTTTGGGAAAGAAAGTCAGATTATTATTTTGCAAGAAACTTTGCTGGAAATATTATAGATATTTTAAGTTTTCAATGATTTTGCCAAAAAAAAAAGTGTCACCAATTTTCCATTGTCGACACTTATACTGTGGTGGATCCACACGCTGAGGCAAGCACACTGTAGTTTTGAAGAGAGATAGGGGGTGGGGAAGGGGGTAAAGGGGTGGGGGGGGGGGAGGGGTGCTGGGTTTTCCTTTTCCAAGTGAATGAAAGCTGCAGAGCTTTAACTAAGGGATGAGGACCGGGGATTTCTCCTGGCTTCTATGAGGGTGATCTTCAGCTACTTTCATGGGAAAGTAATAAAAAAATAGAGCCAATAGAAATTCCTTACCTGGCAACTTGAAATCTTCTTGATAGCGCTCCAAAATTTCTTTTCATTTTCAAAAGAACGACACTATATTTTGTCCTTGCTTAGGTGTAACAAAAAAATTAATAGTCAGTAAAGAATTGAATATGATGTTTTTATGTTTGAAATGTTGTTTAATAATAATAATATAAATATAAAATATTTATATAGTGCCTATATGTTTTCTAGATATGGCGGGAAAATTTGGACTGGCAGCCAATTGGTGTCCATGTGGTTCCAAAGAGTGAAGACTATGTAAGTTCTTACAACCTGTGAACCTTCGGTTGGTAGGCGCACTGTTTTTAACTAGTGATGAAAATGCCATTTTCTCCCATTGGCTTATATTGGTATATTTTTATTGCAGCTTCTTCGACCTTTTAATTACAACTGCCCTCGTTTAAATGAGATAATTGAAAAGTCAAGACAGGACCCAGAATACCAGAATATGGCCAAGAAAAGCAAGGTTAGGACAAAATCTTCACAACAGCTGGGCTTACATGTGTATGATTTATGTGATGGCCAGTGTGATTTCTCACACTAATGTTGATCTCAGATGAAACAGAGTTCACACAGTCTTGAAAAGTCCTTAAATTTTAGGGGAAGCTTGAAAAGTCCTTGAATTTTCTTCAACTTAAATGTATTGGCCTGAAAAGTGTGTTTTGATGCTTTTTGGTTGTCCAGGACAGAATATAAATCATAGATCAGAGAATTGAAAGGTTATTTACACAAAGTGCTCAATGTTTTATGCAATAATTAACTATCAATTTAAGACTTAAGTGAACTGAAAAATGTAGAGAAGCTGGTGAAGCAAACAGTTCAAGCCTTAAAGTCCTATTAGAATACACTAGGAATGTGCATTTATGTACAGTATGTGAAAATATGTTCCTAGTAGGTGGTTTCTGAAAATCTAATGTGGCCCTTGAAAAGTCCTTGAAAAAAAGTTGCAACTTTTTTAATAAACCCTGTGAAAATTATCTTGGTTTTCTAGGAACTGCTGTCATATATCTCACTACACGCTAACAAGACATACACTCTAGCCAATGGCTATCAAGTATACGACACACTTTTTTGTGAGGTAATAAAGATAATTGTTGCCAGTTTCATATTTTAACAAGTTACATTGGTAGTTAATTTGCTGCCGCATAATATTTACTGTGAGATGTTTAGCCTGTGAATACAGTGCAGTGCCTCTCCTTGCTCACCTTCACTGGGGAGGGGAGGGGAGGAGAGGGATAAGAGGCCGCTCTATTTGCAGGTAAAGTTCATGGCTTAATAAATCTACTAGGCTAAGCCTAACGCCTGGGGCTATAGTAAAAAGTTTTGTAAAATTTACCATAAATATAAGTAAAATAAATTTACCATTAATATTATGTGAGGAAAAACATTCAACAAAACAAAGGAATGAGTGAAAAAACAACTTTATTAAATGTTTCATTTCTTCTAGCTGCAACCCTGGACAATAGCTGTTGAGACACATCACAAAAATACTTCAGGGTTCGTACAGGTCATGAAAAACTTGAAGAGTCTTGAAATTTAAGAATTTCATTTTCCTGGCCTTGAAAGTCATGGAAATTAATTAATGTTGGTCATGGGAAGTCATGGAAAATTGAAGTTGTGTTTGTTAGATTAGTTACTGCAGACGTAAAAACAAGGACAAAGTTAGATAGAGAGAGGTAATTTAACAGTTCAAATGGCACACATTTTGGTGGACACCAAAGTGTAATCTGTCGTACTATGAATCACGTCAAAAACTGCCCTAAAGCATGGATAGTTTTGAAGGTTTTTGAAAGTGACAGCTATACCTTAGGTCATTGAAAACTGGAAAAGGTCATGGAAAAAGTCATGGAAAGTTATGGTATTTGAAGAGATAATAAGAGTATGAATCCTGTGCCTATTTTTTCTCATCATCCCAGTGGCAAAGATGGAAACCATCGCCAAATGAATGCTTATTTTTCCCCCTCCTCCCCTCATCCAAAGTTGTTTAGGATAACATGAGAATTATACACATTGGTTTTTAGACCTAAAAAGCTTTGAACAGGGAGCGGAGTAGGGGTCCTACTTTTTCTGTTTAGAGATGGTAGTATGGTGCAAAAGTTACAAAATATATGCAACTGCCTCAAAAGTTTTGTCTGGGGTTGTGGCTACATGTACTTGTGGCCTATTTTTCAGGGGTACCTTGATAATTTGAATCCCATTAAGAGTAGGATTACTTTTGTTAATATTTACAATAAAAATGATAGGAGCTTTTTAAGAGTTGTTCTACTTGTCAGTTATTATTATATTATGATATTTAAGCATTTTGGTAATAAATCAATGTAAAAAATAGTGCTGAAATTAGAAGAAAAACGGTTTTGGGGGTACGTAATTTTTTGCAGCAAAATTTCAACTGGGAAAAATCTCTTCATTTTGCTTTGTAATGTTTATTTTATTTCAAAACTGTGGAGTTATTTGAAATTCATATTAGTGTATAGTGTTAGGAGTTTTATGTGATCTCAAATCTTACTGTGACAGGACTCACATAACCTGACGATACCTTCCTGGGCTACAAATGGTACCACATGGGAAGCAATGAGGAACATGAGTAACTTTCAAATGAAGTGGCTATTTGACTCTCCAGAGAAGGCCAAATTAACTGGAGGTTTGCTGTTTATAATTTCTTCTGTGTTTAAAAAGGGGCTAGCTGGGGAGAATTCCTAGGGCTCTGCTGTCTGGATAATTTTTTACAGATGTCACCACTGCCAAACTTAAAGGCAACTGTTTAGGTAATCTGCACCCCCATTGCACTCAGTAATACAGTAAACACCCGCGTATAAGAACACACGATTTTGGAGGTCAGGCTGATTGAGTTCTTATTATCAGGTACTTAATGACAAATCAGCCTCAAAATGTTCTTAAATTTTTATTTGGTAATAGTATCCAAAACATATGTTGCTAGAGGTATATTTAGCATATTTTAGGAAAATAAAATAAATAATTATTCTGTAATTTGATTATATCAACAAATGAAGTTATCTGACAGCAAACATAAACTTACATGTTTTGTAATTATGACACTTTTTCCATTTTATAAGAACATGTTACAATTTTCCGGCTGATCTTGTTCTTATAAAAATGGGGCTTTATTGGCCAAATTTCAGCCTGGTGTTCTTAATCCATTTGTTCTTATATGCGGGTGTTTACTGTATTTTCTTCAGCTGCCCCTATCCCTTAAAGCTAATCTCATATTTTTTTTTTGGCTCGCTTCCCCCCCCCACCTCCTCCGCCAAATCTCACCAGCACACACGTGCTCAACTCATTAAAAAAGAACCTCTCCTTAATACTTTCTTAGGTATCCTGGCGAAGACTCCTTTGTAAGGGTAAATTAAACTGGAAAAGTTATACATAACACCGCATGTTGGAAACTTAAGCCAAATCTTTTTCAGTCTTCAGATTAAAATCCCCCCTATCTTTTACTTGTAAATCACTTACAAGTAAACCCGCCCTTAATCGTTTCTAGTTGATTGTTTACTCTTTGGCGATTTTCTACTTTACGAAATTAACTATTTTTGTTTATGATAAGCTGTAGCCTGCACTCGAGATAACATGCAATACATGTAGCTCCTAAAAGGCTGAGAAAACAAAATACACGTTACGTCGTCCTCGTTTTTGTTCCTCAGGAAATACGGCGCATGTGGGTCCCCGTTAATGCGGTCACCGACAGGCCCGTATTAATGTATGGGTGGGGTGTTTTTAGCAGGGACGGAACTTCTTTCAAAAGATCTGATTACATTGCAAGTATTAGACTGCGGAGTTTTAGAAATGAACGACATCACATTTTCTAGGCACCTCCGCTGAATGGAAAAATTCAGATATATATTGGTTTGTTCATAGTTTGTAGAGGAGACTGGTTAGGAAAGCCGGCAAACATCAAAGATGAAAACAATGGTGATATAGTTTATGTTGGAAGCTCCCTGACTGTGCACAATCCTTTGTTTTATTGCCCATAAATTGTGACTGAATAAATTGATGCGATCTTTCTATTGGTCAGTAAGTTCAAAATGATAGGAATGCTATTGAACATTGTGCACGGTCAGGTCCAAAAAAACTAACAAAAACATCTAGTAGGTTTCCCAACCATTCCACTTTAATTAACTACCGTAAAATTCCGAAAATAAGCCCCGGGGCTTATATTTTTCAAAGGTCCTTTTTGAGGGGCTTATTTTTGGAGGGGCTTATATTCGGAGGGGCTTGTCTACGGAGTGAAATTTGAGTTTCACAATCGATTGGGCTAGCTTTATAGTTGGAAGTAAATTTACCGTTTTTGCTTTATTTTACCTTGTTTTTGAGGGCAGTTTTCCTAGTACAAGCCCCCGGGGGGCTTATATTTGGTGGGGCGATTTAACGGAGGGCTTTTTGCGTTACCGGTTTGGGGGGCTTATATTTGGAGGGGCTTATACATGGAGGGGCTTATTTTCGGAATTTTACGGCATGGTTTGTCACATTTCTAAATTCTGTTCACAGTGTTTGTTTTTAAGTACCGATTTGTTTTTTTTTTTTTTATAGGGAGTTTAGTTGGAGCAATCGTTGAAAACATGAAAAACCACATTGAGCCAACCTGCAAAAAACTTCACATTTATTCAGCCGTGAGTACCGCACCCCATTATCAATTCTTGCATATTCTCTACAATGCTTCGTTACGTTTCATTTCAAATGGAAATGATGAAGACAGTTTGTCAAAAAAACATAGCATTTTATCACAAAAGATCACATCCTTAATTTTCATAACCTTGTGTGTGATTTAGCAATGATGTCTTTAGGAGAATTTAGACGTTCAACCCCGATACAACAAAGCAGTCCAAGTTGCATGAAGTTTCAAATTTGATTAAAACCTTTGAAATATCGCGGCAAAAAATTGCAGTAAAATTGAACCTAGTTTACACCTTCGATTTTATTCCGACAAAAGTACAGCATACGGCGAGAATTTACATGTACACCCGCGTAAACCGGAGCACCCTACAGTCACGAAGGCGATACGGTGATCAGGGGAGAGCACACGCAATCTGCTTCAAGAAGAACCGGAATTAGGTTATACAAAAAATCCTGAGAGGATGACTTTAAATATTGTGATCATAGTCTTTTGGCATCTAGGCTTTGTTCACACTTATACCGAATGGCTTTTGCGCCGACAAGAGAACCACACTGGATTGGGCTTCCTGTTACACATAAGAACGGTGATTTTGGCGCGCTTTCTGTAACGGGGCGAAGCTGCTCCGCGCCTATATGTACGTCACGTATCGTATAGTTTCTGTGCCACACTTTGAATAGGTATTCGGACCGCAGCAGTGGTGAAAAGGAGAATAGAGGACTGGAACCCACTGAGACGGAAGAAAATATTAAGAACCAGACCCTCTCGGCCACAAACCGCTCTTGCTTTATACCTGCCAACTCTCGCGCATTATGTGTGAGTCTCACGCCGGTGAATTAAAGACATCGATCTCACGCATCAAAGACAATTTCTCACACCTGACTCCCAAATCCGCAAAAACTGTTCGTTAACTTATGATAAATAATGAAAATTCAATTCAAAAAGGCGTTAAATGATGACTTGGTGTATTTTTTTGTGTTCTAACGAGATCAAAGCACGCAAACATTGTCGTCTTTTAAGTAGCCGGAAGTGCTCAAACGTCTTTGAAACATCTGCAGACATTTTCGGCAACGTTCGGAAGTCTTCGGAAAGTTGTCGGAAATCTTTGAAGTCGCCGGGGCGTTCCCGAAAATTCTGGTCACGACAAGGTGAAAATCTCACGCATTTGAATCACGCAGGTATATACCATACAGGACAACTTCTCGTGTCGGCACGAAAGGCTATCCGGTCAGTTAATGTGAATATAGCCTAAAGGGAGGTTACTTGCTTCGTGCTAGACACCCCGTTTTCACTGGCATGATCACCCGTTGAACTATCTATGTTAGAAATAAGGACTAGTGGTTGACTCGCACACCACTGCTAGTGGTTGAATAACTTCCAGTAATTTTCTGTATGATCTGTGTTACAGCACGACACGACAGTTGCCGCATTACTGAGCGCACTCAATCTCTATGATGGAATCTCGCCAGCTTACTCCAGTGCTGTAATGGTTGAACTCTACTCAGACGAAAATGATGACAAGTAAGGCAATTACAGTTGTTCATATGTTGATCGATGAGGAGTTCTAGTGAAAACAAATGAATGCACACATGTAATATTTTGACCAAACTCTTCCCCACTAATCGATTGATTTAAGTCCACATCACTTCAAATTTTCTCCTGCCCTTTTCAAGTGCCATTAGTAAGGTTTCTTATATGTCTTCTTTTATGATATGTAACAAATGTTATCTTTTTGAGGTTGCGTTCGATGTTGGAGAGAATTGCACTATGGCAATGTTTGGAGTAGGGGGTAGGGGGTAGGGGCAAGAGGGAATGAGCTTATTTTCTCCTGGTGGGGGGTTAGGGAAGCAATCACTTTTATGGCCATTTCGAAGTTGCGTTGTGACCTCGGTCAAAGTTCCTACCCATACTACCCCAATACAACCCTAAAAAATATGCAGTCATCAACACTACACCGATTCAGATTCACGCACAACTGCAAGAGGCATATAGCATTCGATTGTCAAGCATTTTTCCCTAAATATAATTAAACGTGAAGTTGCATTCGTGGGTACCCTTATATATTAAAAGGCGTTGATCTTATTCTTCTCTGTTTATTTTGTTTGTGTTTAATTGTTAGAAAAGACATGACAGTGCGTATACTGTACCGTTTTGGCCAAAGTACAGACCCGAGAGTTCTTAGACTATCCAACTGCACCGAATATTGTCCCCTGCATCAGTTCATCAAGTAAGTTGCTATTTTTTTTAAAAAAAGAGTGGCTCCGGTCACACTTAAAACAAAAGTGAGCGAGTGAATCAAAGAATTCTTTTGTTTCACTCGTTACACATTTGACTGACAAAAAGCAATGGTTGTAATTGGTGAGTATCGCTATATCGCTAGCGTAGCGTAAAAAATAGGTTTGGCAAAATTTTCTCTCTCTTGATCTTTTCCCAAATCGTTTCATCACGATCGCGCTTGACTAAATAAGCTCTTAGAGAAAAACATTCTTTTGTTTCTTGAAAGAAGAGGATAAAGCGAGGTTCTGCCAGCTCTCTCTGAATTGCGTCAAGCCTCTGAAGTCGCCGCAGCCCCGAACTACTGGACTAGTCAGTCTTGTTTTCTCTCGTCAAACTAGTTTTTTCGAGTGTGAGCATCCGCTGCCCCGTTTACGATGAACTGATGGTCATAACTGAGCCCGCTATACCAAGCGCACGGCTAGTAGGCCTGGGCTCGAAACTGTATCCTAACAACATGCAACGCATGCGCAACAAATTCAAGCAGACGCCAAAATGGAGCAAGCGAAAGAAAGTCTATTCTGGTAAAGTTGGCTAAATAATATGTTGCAGGACTTGTGTTTTGAGCAACTCAACTCCGGCTAGGCTTTGAAAAAGTTATTCGTCCTTTAGAGCGTTTTCACTCACATGGCCAGCATCTATGCTAATTTTTTGGAACAAAAGAAAGCATTTACATGAGAAAAGAGTTCAACTCCCAGAGGATTTTCTTTGTACACCAACATGCCCGCCGTTTTATTGTTTTAGAACACCATTATGGCCGCCGTGACGTCATGTGAAAACGCTCAATTTTAGTGATTGTTAAGTTATGTCTTTTCCCGCGCTCTTTGGCCGGAAAACAAAAAAGCGTGCAAGAAAAGTCGATGACACTCGAGGATTCTGAAATTGTTGATGAATGTGGAATTGAGTTGTTAATTACTGTGTTGGCCTTCCCTTTTCAGGACGACTGCTGGTGTTATTCCCGGTGATCTGAACAAAGCTTGTGGCGTGAAGCAAGACAAATTGTGTGTGAAGACCATTGTTTATAAGAGTAAGTTCTGTGCTAACTATAAACTCTCAGCCCCTTTAAGACCTTGATATTGAAATTAAATAATCTAGCTAATTTGCGACTTCCACGTTCCCCGTAATTTAACTTGTCCTCCCCACAAAATTTTGCGTAAGTATTGTTTTCAGTTTATCTTTGAACAAACAATTGCCCCTGAAGAAATTTTGTAGGGGAAACAAATGGAAAACGTTAAAGTCGCAGATAATCGAAGCGTGGATTCTCGTTTGCCAACTACGTGAACGAGCCTCAAAAGTCAATGAGGCGTGTGGCGACATAGAAACCGCGCGTATTCGTGCGAGTTGAAAGAAGCTGTAAACTTTAAGTGCCCCGTGATTCCGTTTGTGTGACTAACACATATTATTACCAGCGTCCTCCTCAGGCGCTTCGTTTTTTTCGCATGGTAGAGGCGAGCGCGAAACGCGAGTGACTGGTGATGAACCGCAAGGAACCATGGGAAGGGTACAGACGGCAGGCGGAGCGACGTCTCGCCCGTTGTCTCCTTCCCTTGCGCGCACATTTTCATCGAAGGAGAGACGTCTGGGTACGAGGCAGTATTATTACATATCATATGTGATGGGAAACCGCTATAGGTTAAAGTTGTAGATGCAGAACACAAAAGACGTCTGTTTTGCATTTTTTTTCCCCAAATGAGTATTTCAACAATGAACAATCAAAATTTAAAACACTATTCTGCCCGCAATTTTTAAAAACTGAATCATTGGATAATGCATTTCTAGAGCTCTGATTGGCTTAGCCATCATGGTATATGAGCCATTATACCATGCTCTCTAAATATGGTACCTGTACGCGTCTGCTCAAAATTAAAAACAAGCTGGAAATCGGTTGTTTTTACAAATAAAGTTGTGAACAATTCTTGATATTTTGGGCGCGTTTTCAATAAAACAATTATTCCACTCGCGCTTGTTGGATACGAGATGATTATAGCCAACTCGGTTGTTGGTTTTCTACCATCTCATATCCAACGCGCACTCGTTGAATAATTTTTAAATAGCAAAGCTGATCTAGGCGGTAGAACAAATCAGATAGTTTGTAACACACTGGAAATAAATTTGTTAAGAGGTAGGGAAAAAAATGTTTACAAAACAATCAGGAATTCTGTCCGTGTACCGCTGATACACAGACAGGAGCTAAATCCCTCCTTTTTCTTTTGCAGGTTTCTTGGCGGGCTTTATTGCCGTCACTGCGATTCTGTCGCTTCTGCTGCTTGTACTGTTCATCAGATGCTGTCGGCGAAAATGCTGCCGTCGAAAAAAAAATCTGACTTTTTATAACGACCTATTGAAAGATGCGCGACTCCTGGACAAGCCAGATTATGACTCTGACAGTTAGAACATAATCTACCGAACTAGTTAACATTGAATAGAGTTTTCTTATTGTTCAATCTTAATGACACGAGCACTAGAAAGTTCTTTGTATGGTGGTGCTCTGAAGCTACGGATTGTCGCCTAGCAACACTTTTTCTGACAAATTCCGGGCTCAATTTTCTGGGATGGAGAGAAGAAAATAGAAAATAGGTTAAGGGCCTGGTGGTTCCCAGATCTCTTAGCTGTGAACACAGACTATTTTTGACATTGTACAAATTTAAGAATTGTAGATTAGTATTATCGTTATCATTATCATTTTTTGCCTTTTTTGTGTGTTTTGTAGTTGTCCATGAGGGGTGAGGTATATTTATTTTAGATACCATTATGATCACTTACGTTGACGTTCCAATGTCACCAGTCACCTGTATGAAAAACAAAAGTAGGTTGAGTTTCACAGTTTTATGAAAAACATTTACCGTTATCATTCGATGAAATTTTTCTTTCTTTTCATTGGCCGTGACACAACCGCGTGACCTGCAAATAATATTCTGTTCATGCGTAAATGAAACCAAGCTTTTCTCCTTCTTGGGATCGCTCTTAGGTGAAAATGGCAGATCGCATTGCTTTCCGAAGATATCCATTAAAAACAAACTCGGTGATCGAATGATAAAATAATTATTGAACGAGGTTGAGCAAAATATTGTGATTTGTCAGTGTCTCGCAGATTAATTATTAAGGCTTCGACAAGGCAATAATTGATCTGCTCGCCACTGACAAATGAGGATATTTTGCTCAATCTCGTCCAATAATTGTTAATTATTCTTGTTTAAGAGGTTGCATGATGGACTCCAGCATACTTGTCATGTTTAAGTCGTTCAAAATTTTCCAGCATTTCATACCGAATTTTAACAAGTTATCATTAGTTAAAGCGACACGGTACATCACAAGGTAAACCGAACTAAGCTTTAAAAATGTGTGATATTTTGTGACACGTGCAGTGAGAGTTGACCACAGCGAGATATACCGCGTGAAAAAAAATTATTACCTGCGTGATCTGGAAGCGTGATAGATACTTCTCCGTTTTAGCATTTTTAATTAGATTATTAACTGAGAAATGAGTGTATTTTTAAACACCAAATAGGTGTATGTTTTAGACACACAGAGTAGCTACCTAGTAAAAACTTTAATTAAATGAGAAATAAAATGTCTAAGTGGTTCTTTGAGTGTGATCTAGCCTGCAAATACAGTCGACTCTCTCTTAACGGACACCTCTATAAAACGGACACCTAGAGTTGGTCCCTGCCTTTCTTTACTCCTTTTATTTGACTCTCTATAAGAAGGACACTTCTCTAAGACGGACACTTAGTGCCGGTCCCAAAGGTGTCCGTGTTAGAGAGAGTTGACTGTATAACCTTCTCTCCGCACTCCCCGCCGCTAGGGACGTTCCTAGGGGCGCGCTTAAACGCGTACAAGTTGAACCTCGTTCAAATTATTGCTTACGCGCGACCTTTCGTACATTAACTCTTTTGTTTACACGCGTACGAATGTAAATATTACGCGACGGTGGATATCCACCTTAAGAGGAAAATAAAGCGTACATCGCTTGAATCCGTATGATACGGGTTGGTGTGTACAAATATGGCTGAATAAAAGTATAGACTTGCTGAGGCAAGTTACAGGGTGTCCCCTATAAGCAGGTTGCTCTTGAAGTAGTTAACTACCCCGTTCCATCTCTTTGCCCCCGCGCTCTAATCTCCACTGGGTCTGCATCTTCCAGTGTGTATGTCTTCTCTAACTAGAGCAGCCCGTCGTTGTTTCTTGGGAAGGATGCCATGAAGGATTGCCGGTTGCAGCTCTTTGTCCATTTAATGCAAAGGGCCATTTCGAGGTTACACTTGAGAGTCGAATTGCACTGTTTAACTTTTTGGGTTTCCTGTGCATCTCCGTAATGGTCGTTAAAAGAACTACCCCCAAGAAAGTCCAATGTTGCAATTCGACACAATACTGTCCGTCGTCTCATGGGCAGCCAGTGACACCCCATAGTTTCTGTTGTGCGCGCTCTGCTAATGCAGGCTTATGAGAGATTTGGTGTGTTTTGTGTTTGTGCATGCGACAGTAATCAAGCAGACAAGTAAACGTCGGTAAATTCTTTAATGTAATACGTGACAACAGAATGACAAAAATAACAGCAAGAAATCTCCTTTTGCGTTCAACATGAAACCTTTCCTCATACTCCAAGCCATTCTTTCTGATTGGAGCTGATAGCTTTTCTGTCGCCTTTGCTTTGTTTCTGTTGAAAAGAACAAAAACGTATGTCTCGGTAAAGGTACTTAATGGCTTTTTAGTCGTGGAAAAATAACAGTTAAGAATCTTTAACTTGTTTACAAAGTACGGGCTCGGTTTGGCAGCCCTACTGCTCGATATTAAGAAAGCCCAGAGGCCTCTTGTGATATGCCATTCGTTATAATACCCCTACTGAGAGGGGTTCTTATCTATTCTAAGATCCTTGGAAAATTTTGTCGTCTAAAACCGAGGCAAAGGAAGGATCAGGTTCAAAGAGACTCCTCATGGTGTGCATCAAACATGCATGCTCATCATCATCATCATCGGTCGGCTGCAGAGCAGGCGACTACGAGCTTCCTCCAGCCACAACGATCCGGTGCCAATTCAGACAGCTTGCCCGGGCCAATCATGTTGTCTGTGTCTCCCAAAAGGTGTTGAATGTATCTGAGAAACAGGGTTCGTTGCCTTCCTGTTTTTCTCTTCCCATGTGGTGGAATATACAGTGCGTACTCCTTGCATGCATGCATGTAACTGTTATCTTACTGTTGGCTTCTTTGCTTACCTGGTAAGGGTTACACCGGAGGGTGACAAATTCATATCCAAACTGCAACACGTTGATGACCCTGAATAACAAAAATTTTTAATTTTAGGACTAAAGTTGCTTTTGAAACCGGACAGTGTTTGAGATGACATCGCCCATAACGGGCTTTAGACCTTGCTTTTGGTAAATAAAATTAAAAATATCATTTATAATATTACCTGGAGTAAGATGTTCTGGGATTCTGCGTGGCCGTTTAAAGGCCTTCTCTGGCTTACTGAACACCGTATATGTCCTTCTGGACAATAAGTATAGAGAGCGCGACTCCAGTAAGATCATCTCCAAAGCCCAGACCATGGCCTGGCAGCCATCATACCATCCAAATCTTAACTTTTCCGCTTCAGATGAATGAACTCTGGTATCCACACCTAAATAAAAAAGACCCATTCAATCAAAATAGGATTCTTAATTAACACAGCTTTTTTTTTCAAGATCTCTTAAAGGAGTTCACACAAAAGTTTTTAAAAAAAGTAAATTCCTTTTTTTCATTGAAATAACAACAGCAACAATTTTATTCTTTGTATGCACAAGGAGTTGTGCATAAGTGTAAAGTGTAAGCCATTATTGACAAACTAAAGTTCAGTACGAAATACTAAGTATAATATTTGCACCCCATAACCATTGTCACGTCACGGGGAAAGTAAGTTATGGGAGGAAACCGCGTGAATATTGAATAATGTGGGTATGCGACGTCAACCGCCACCAGGGGAGCTGGGAGGGGCAAAACGTTGAAGTCACTTCCACTGAAATCCGTTGAACTGGCCTGGCAAGAGGAGGGCTAAAACAGATCAATTCTAAGTAAGGGCCGCAATGCATCATGCGCAAAGCGCGCAGGCCCAACACAACGCAAATAAAAGGAGTTTCTTATTTCCTGCGTAACGGGCCAATTGTGTATGCAGTGAGAATATTTATTTGCTATTTATGGTTTGCGTTTTCTTTTGAATAAAGAACGTTAAAGCTGAACGCAAGAAGACAAAGAGGGTTTCTAAAATGCTTAGAAGATGTTGATGCATGCATCCTTTTATCTTACACCGTTGCATTGGTATTCAGAGCGACGATAAAAGACACTTACTGTACGAGCAATGTTTAGTAGCAATCAATTCTTCTCGATGTTTTACTTCCTCTTTCGTAACAACCAGTGAACTCAAGCAATTCGACGTCGCCGAGGGGAGCTCACGTTCTTCATCATAGGATTTGTCCTTGCTAAAGATCAGGAAACAAATCGTATTTCAGTGCTGGAAAGCAGTATGTATCCCGCACGTTAAGGAAAGAAATGGAGAAAGACGGCATTTTATAAAATAGGACGCCTTCCCGCATCTTAGTTAACAAGAAATCTAAAACAATCGCCTCAAAGGATTTAGTGGGCTCAAAAAAGGGTATGGCGAACGACTTTCCCCCTTTATAATTATGATAGGTACTTGAGTAGCTAGGACTTCGTTTGATTTGCTATTTGAAAGAGGTTCTAAAACTATTTTCGGATCCAATCACCAAGTAAGTACATGACGAATGTTTAGCATACAACTTACATGTTCCCAAAGGAATTTGAAGAAGGGCCCTCTGTGGAACCTACAAAAATTAATATAATGGGGCTTGTTATATATTGATAATTCCTACAAACAATCCAAATAAGTAGCCTGAATTTCATCCGATTACTTCGAGTCGTTATTACTCCCTCAGTTGTTGAGAGGAGAAAACGACTCCAAGAAATCGGATGAATTTCAGGCTACCAAATAAGAGCATGCTTGACAACATCGTAACTAGCCTCATAGCCTTAAAACGTTTGAAACAATTTGCCAAGAACACCGGGACCAAGGCCGTTTTGTGTGGTTCTCACGCTCTTTCCGAGAGGCCACAGAAAGATTCCCTGTTTTCATTCATATTTTCAAAGTATAACCATTATTAACAAGATCAGTTTAAATCTGTTAACAGACTGCAGCTCACGAAAATTAAAGTACACATTGCGACAGCTTGATCGTGAATTGCATTTTTATCAGCTGCAGTTGTATATAAATCCGAATCCTGACGTAAGGGCAAAACATCTTGATCACGTGATGATGTCCAGCAGTTAGACCTCAGCTTAGATTTGGAGCGAAGATTGATTACAATGCGGCGGCTCCGCTTTTAGGCTTGGCTAGTTTTAGACATTATGTTCCTTTCGAAAGTATTCCATACTGCGCCATGATAGAGGGCGAATTTCCTCTTCGGTGGTGGAAAAAATGTCTTCAGGGACAGAGTATTGAGATATCGGTTGATTTCTATTAGTATTACCTGGTGAAAGAAGTCTCGGGATTCGGAGGGGCCGTTCATGGACCTGCTCGGACTCACTTAACGCCATATGTGGAGAATGCATGTCCAATACAATCAAAACCAAAGCCCAGACAGTGGCCTGGTAACCACAATACCGCATCACACACAAAACAACCAAGGGCTGAAAAATGTCACAGTCGGTTTCTTGAATATCCTCATTCACTGCAGTTAACTTGCTTGTGTTTCGAATCTCCGCAAATGATTCAGAGGGCTCTACTTCAGAAGATGTGCGCGCCGATGAACTTGACGATTCAAAAGAGTGGCTTCCCTTAGAATCTCTGAAAACAAGGAAGAAATACCTTTCTCGTAAAAAGTACCTTTTCTTTCATTCTTTATCCACTCTATCTTTTTTTATAGATTATTTTAAATGTATCTATTCATTGATTGTTGAAATTAATATTGGTGTCCGCATTTGCTGGACGGAAGTCTAATCTATGAAGCAGACTTTCCTAGACCAATCACTCAGCGTTCGGCTAATATGGGTGGGTGTCAGCAAAACACTTACAAGGGTTTGGAACCGATGGTTTTATTAGCAAGAATACATTTTCTTATTTTCCAAAACTGTTTTTTTTTAAATTGGTGCTTGATTTAATTAAGAAGAAGCCATTATCTCGCTTTGCATACCTGGAAGAGTTGGCATTGAAGGATGTGCTACTACATTCCAAACTGGAAGCTGACACAGATGAACCTGAATAGCAAAGAAGGTTAGTCAGGGTAAGAAAACAGAAGGCTGTGTTGGCTTTTATGTTTGAGTGCTTGTTTGGAAACGGCCATAGATGAACTTATATGATAGGAAACTGCTCTCATAAGTTCTCTGACAATTTGAAGTTGGGTGATATACCATCTACCTCATTGTCATGAACTCTGGCAAACCTTCATAATCGACTAAGGTGTAGGTCTACTGGACTTCAACGACTGTAAATTTTTATCGATAAAATTGATAATTGCTTCATTGATTATTAAATTGGAATTTTCAGTGACAGAGTTGCTGACAAATGACAATGCGCAGCATTAATAGAATGAAGTAACAAAAGGAAGTTTTGTGTTGCTTTGGAAGTCAAAGGAGTTGAACCAGAAGGCTTTCAAAGAGCCTTAGAGAATCAGTTGATTTAGTGGAGCAGCCATATTTCATGTTTCGTCTAGAATATCGTCACCGAGAGATTAAGGACGAAATAAGGAAATGAAAGGCACTTACTGTGTGTGTAATGTTTGGTGATCAATTCCGCTCGGTCGGTTTCTTCTTCTTTTGTCAAAGACAAACTCGGCAGGCCGCACAAAGTCACCGAGGAAAGTTCATTTTCTTTATCACAAGATTTTCTCTTGCTAAAGATCAGAAAACAAATCGTATTTAGTGACAAGCAATATGTATTGATGCTGAAGATAGCCGGCTTTTTAATAATAACATTAATTAGAAGCAAAAAAATCTTGCAAACTCGACTCAGCTGATTCATTGGGGTGGAATATGTAGTATTGCCTGTCATCCCAGTCTCCTTGCGCTGCCTTAGCTTCTAGAGATTTATTTGTGATAACTCTCCTGTTTACTACAGGCTCTAAATGGTATTTACAGATCATGCAATTACCAAATACGCCGCGTACGCGATATATGTTTTTTAGCATTATACAAACTTACGTAAGGACGTTTGAAGAGAAGGTTTCTCTTGAACCTGGAAAAAATACAAGGGAATTTTTAGGAGGTTAAAATCTTTACAAGAAATCAATAATACAAAATATGAAACGACAATTTAACAAGAGCCTATCAGCTTGGAGCAATTTTTCGCAGAAACGCTTGTGAGCAAGGCCTTGTGCGGGTTTCACGATTCTAAAGAGGTTATGAAATTGTACAGGGATCGCCTTGGGCAAAAAGGCCGGAATAAGCTCTTCTGATCGTGCGAGTCAAAAACAGTGAAGCAGCTATTGTTTACCTACCTTGCATAGCAAACCAAGGATGGTTTAGTATTTGTCGATTCATTGGTACAACATTCAGCAATGAACTGATCAAATTCTTGGCCTCTGTCAAAAAAAAAAGAAAAAAAAAGAATAGATATTGATATGTAACTATAAAACTTTCAAAAGCCTCAAATGCAACAGAACGTCTTAGGCTAGGTTTTTTAATATCCTATAAGGAGCTCTGATAAAAAATTTAACGCTTTGATTTTTTTCCTCACGCTTGTTACTGCGCTTTTCACACACATGCGAATTCTGAAGTTCAAAAGCCAACTGACGATTGCGTTTTTCGCTGCCGTCAATCATCTTGACGGACCTCTTAGGAAACGAAACTTTACTTTAACGGGTTCAAAAGGTCATGCTTTGTGATTTGTGATTGGTGGATTTCGATCCGTTATGTGTGTTTCTGTGTTTCAAGTTCGTTGCTTGTGATCGTAATTATGATTGACGGCAGCGAAAAACGCAATTGTGAAGGCGGCTTTTGAACTTTAGATTTCGCATGTTTCTGAAAAGCGCAGTAGATAAAGGGCGCTTTCCATTTAGGAAAAAAACCCGGAAATTTCGGTGCTAGCAAAAGTGGAATTTCCGATTGGTAAAAAGTTGTTCCATTTGGTCGTAATAAAACCCCGGTACGTGGCGGTGCCCGACCGTGGACCTGGAACTGGTACAAACTACGAGAAACGTAAATGAAACACGACATTCCGTTCGGAAATTCCAACCGGGAAAACGGGACCACCTTTTTAGATTTTCCACTTTTTCTGGGAATTTTCCAGTGGGACGAACCGACGAAACGTGTTCCATTTACCGCCGAACCGGAAATTCCGGAAATTTTGACTAAATGGAAAGCGCCCAAAGTAACTACATTACCTGGTGATAGATGACGTGGGATTCTGGGTGGCCTCCCATAGGCCTGTTCGGGCTTACTGAACGCCATATATGGAGAAAGCATGCCCACTAAGATCATCCCCAAAGCCCAGACAGTAGCCTGGCAGCCATCATACCATCCAAATCTAAAATATTCCGGCGCCATATAAACCCTGGTACCTGAAACAATTAAAACAATAGCCATTTAAGTCAAAAATTGGTTTGACCAAAGCGTTTTTTTCCATAGCCGGGTACTAAAATAGAGGACATTGCATGGTCGCGCGGAGATACGACATTTCTCTTCGAGTGGTGAAAATATTTTTTCAACACGAGAAGAGAAATTTTCTATCTCCAAGCGGCCATGTAATGTTCTATTTATTATATGAACACCAATGAAATACCAAACCATTTCACTTTAATAGTTTTTTGGTGTGAAAGGGGCGATTTATCATGTAGCCATAGCAACGGTGATATTTTCACATGTGAAGATATCAAGTTTTCGCGCGAAAGCTCACCTGGTATTTCATTGGTGTATATATAATAGAGTATGTTATTTGCTGTCATATACTAAAAAAAGGCGGGACTAAAACAGAAGCAGACGAACAATCAAACTAACTAACTTACTTGCTGTAAATACACTAAATATCTAATCAAAACTAACTAAATAACTAACTAACAAAAAAAGTAAATATATAGTGAGTAACTTCGTCTTTTTAGCTTCTAACACGTTGCCTACCTCTAAACACATTATAAGGCTCATATTGTATCTCTGACGCCAGACCAAAGTCAATTAGTTTGACTTCATCAGCATCCAAATCAACCAGGACATTTTCTGGTTTAAGATCGCGTTGAATAAATCTATTTTCTTCGCATTTGATGTTGGCTTCAATGATCTGTGCGAAATACCTCCGCGCTTCTTTCTCTGTCATTGTTCTATCGAATAAAATACTGCCCAAATCCTGACAGTTTCCTGGCCTTTCCATGACATAAGCGAAATAGTTGCCCATTGAAAAGAAATCGTAAATCTTAATCACGTGACGATGTTGAACTTTGATCATCCAATAAACCTCAGCTGGAATTTTTTCACCATTCACCTTTAAGGAAAATGAGAAAAGGATGGACTGCAAACATTTATTTCACTATAGTTATTTTGAACGAGATCATGAGTATTAAATATAGTGTTTTATTCTTGCCTACATGGCGCGGAAAGTTATATCAGCTCACGAATGACAGAAATGATATGTTTCTTTAGAGTAGACCTTTGTTGATTTACTAACCTCTTTAAAGTCATTTACGGAGCGTTTATCAACAAATTTAATGGCCACCTGAAATTCAACAAACAATCCAATATCAGTATTTTTTGATAGTAAATCCACACAGTATCTGTACATCATTTTATTGGTATCCTGGCTTATAGCCTTTTTGAATTTAACGTACCATTTTCTAGACAAATAAAATCCATTCTATACTTATTCATTAACTTTATAGTATAGCTAAAATTAGCATCCATTCATACAACCCTCACTCCGCTGCCTCAAAAATTTTTTACATAAAACGATCAAGGCTTGAAATACACAGAAATTCTTTTTTCAAGAATAGGCACAAAACTCTGGAATGAGATACCGTGTTCTTTTGAAATAGCTACCGAAAGTACAATTCAACATCGGGATACAGAACATTATATTAC